ATCAAGAGTGGTCTCTTGTGCCTTACCAATTGTAGTCTTATTCTTGAGTGTATTCAAATTTTCATCCTCAAATTGTTTGTCCTTGATCTTTCATAAATGTGGCCCCCCTAACTCCAACGCTAGCTAACACCCAGCTTTTCCTGAGATGCCCAATTGCATGAATTTAGACTTCAAGGTCTGAATCTCCTTAGCCAAAGGTCGTCTAGTTACACTTAAGAAAAAATTAGCATACAACCTTTGTTTCTTAAGAACAATACGAAGATGATCGGCATGCCATTCCCTTTCTCACTTCTCGAATAGATCAAAATATAATCAATAAAGACTATGACGAATGAATCAAGAATGACTTAAACACCCAATTCATTGAACTCATAAAAGAGGTGTGCGCATTAGTCAAACCAAAAGACATAACTAGAAACTCATTGTTCTCATAACGGGTGTTCTAAACGCCATCTTGGGCACATCTTCTAGCTAATTTTCAACTGATGGTGCCAAACCTTAGATCAATCTTGGAGAAAACAATTGGTCAAAAAGATCATCTTTTCGAGGCAAAGGGTATTTATTTTGAATAGTGACCCTATTCAATTACCGTTAATCTAAACACATTCTCATATTACCATCATTTTTCTTAACAAATAAAATTGGAGCACCCCATGGGAAATAACTAGGAAGAATAAATCTCTTATCGGGAAGATCTTGGATTCGAGCCTTAATCTCTCTCAATTCTGTCAGATCCATGTGATATGGAGGGATAGAAATTGGCTGGATACAAGGTTCTAAATCAAGGCAGAAATCTATATTCCTATCCAGAGACATACCAAGCAAATCATTAGGAAAAACTTCTCCAAAATTTGACATCATAGGGATATACTAAATTGATGCATACTCAAGATCAACATCCTGTATGTGAACCAAATACGCAAAACAACTCTGCCCTACCAGTTTTCTAGCCCAAATAGAGGATACGATCTTAGTTTGCTTAAGCTTGTACACCCCTTCCCACTGTAACTTTTCCTTTTTCGAAATTTCTAGAGTTATAGACTTAGTGTTACAATTAAGCACAACATAATAGAAGAAAGCCAAGTCATGCCAAAGATTATACCAAATTAAGTCATATTCAAAATCACCAAATCAACCTAATTCTAAAAACCCATAAATAAAATACAACAAATGCGTAGACATAGATGACTATAACAGACTTTCCAACTAGGGTAGATAAGGGCATCAAGTATATCACAAATCATAGCAAATATTTTGGAAAATTGCATACACATAAGAATAAGTAGAACTCGGTTCAGATAACACATTAGTCATCCGGTCACATACAAGAATAGTACATATGATCACTGCGTCAGACTCCTCAGCCTTCTTCTTGCTCAAAAAGGCATTAAATTGAGCCTTATCATTATGAAAGGTGACTTCTCTGCCTGCATTACCATTTCTCCTACCTCCGCGTTCTCGTTGATTTCCTCCTCGCCCACCTTGTGGACGCCCTTGATCATTATTACCATTTCCCGTTGGTACCGCTGCTTTAGTCCGCTACTGCGCAGAATCAATCATACGTGTATGAGGAAAATCTATCCTCATGTGCCTAGGATCTCCATAATTATAGCAAGTACAATCAAGAGATGGTTTGCTTCCCATCGGAGGCAAGACTCCCTGGTTATCCTGAATCAAATTATCAGGTAAAATTCCCGATTAATTACTTGTAGAGGTGGGCATAATATACTGAATTGTCCAGGCAACAAGTGTTGGCCTCCATGACCCCTTGAAGAAAGAACCTTGAAAGTTACTCGATTTCTTGGACCTTTTAGCCAATGCCTTATCTTGAGTGTCTCGCCTCACCCCTTTCACTTTCTTAACAAAGTCTGTTACCTCAACCCTTCCACTTTCTTAACAAAGTTTGTTACCTCATTAAATCTCCTTGATGCAAAGGTCATATGAACATTATTACCTGCAACTCAGAGTTTGGTCCCTTAATAAATTAACGGATCATGTATCCCTCGATAGCCACCAATTGAGTAGCATATCCAGAAAATACATTTAACTTGGCCTCATAAACAGCCACAAACCACCCAAAGCCGTGAACTCATTCTTTTTGAGATCTCTCAAAGTCCTAGGCACATATTTCTCTAAAAATAAAGCATGAAATTGAGTCCAACTAAGTGGAGGTAAAACTGAACATCTGCATTCCACATAAGCTCCCCACTACTACTTAACCTAACATTGAAGTTGTTGATGGATAAATTATAGCTTATGAAGCCTCTCATAGTAATCAAGGATGAATTCACATTCATCCTCACTCTCGGAACCATGGAACACAGGCGGTTTCAACTTCAAAAACTTGGTCAACATCTCATGTTCATTACCAGTCATAACATGAGACAATAAATGACGAAATAAAACATCATTACCTATATTCCTTCCCACCTTAGGGACAATGATAACAATAGGATGATTAGCGGGAGCTTGAGTTGCTTAAATAGAGGGAAACACTCTAGGACCAACCAACCCTTTCAAGAATGACAATATCTGTTAAGCTAACACTGGTCTATAGGAGGAAAACATGTCGTCTCAGCCGGCACCATTTCCTTTTTTCCTATATTTTCCTCATTCTCAACCTTAATATTCTCCTCTACCTTTTCGTGGTGTGCAGAAGGGGCCTTATTTATGGGAGTATTTTTAACTAGTGTTCTATCCCTAGTAGGTGTCACCCTTCATTGGCCTCTACTCCTAGATCTTCCTCTATCCCTACCTCAATAACGACCTCTAGCTGCAGATTCCTCAATTGGAGCATTGACGGGAGTTACGGGCCTGACATTGTTGAATCTAGTGTCAACCATTTGCGGACAGTGAAAGATGTCAATACCAATTTGAATAGTCAGATATTAATTAGAATCAAGTTATAGTACGAAAGGAAACAAGAGAATAATAGAGAGATTAGAGAGATTTCCTAAAGTCGTATAAACTTTCGAGAAAAAGTACAGACGACTCTGTACCATTTCGCAAGACTTTACTAGACTCATTTTGGTACATCCAGATCAACCAACTCTGATACCAACTTTGTCACGACCTAGACCATCGTGATTGACGCCCACACTAACCCTCCGATGGAAGAACCATTTATCCTTATTAGATACAAACTTAATCAAAATACTAAGGCATTAAAGTTACAAAAACAAGTTAAATGCTAAAGGAAAGAAATAAGGAGAACCTATAAGCTCCAAACCAATAGTCTATCAACTAAACAAATGCGGAAAATACGCCTAGAACCTAAAATTTAATGTACCAAAACTCTAACAATAAACTATAAATCTAAACAAGAAGTGATACAACCCCAACTAATATACTGATAACTAACTAGAAAGTCTATGTCCATAATATGGGACATTAACATAAAGAGAACTCATGGGAATTGAAAGAACTGACTCACCATTGAATCCGAAAAATCACTGATCTTATAAGCGAGGTCTATCAATAGCCACCTGAAGTTACTCTGTACTCAAGAAAGAGAGAGCATGTGCAATATCAATACAAAGTCACAGTGTACTGGTAGGATCACACAACTATCCTACTAAGTGTAACATATATAAGTCATTACAACATAATAATAACATGTATACACCAAACATATACAATATCATCATCATTTTTGAAACAAAGTACAACTCATTGGTCCTCTCATGGAACCCAAACTTAAACAGTTAGCATACCAGAATGCGGTGTCCGATCTAATGTTTATGCTGGAACGTGGCAAAAGATCTCATATTTATCTCGAAACGTGGCAACCGATTCAACTTTATGTGTCAGAATGCAACACCCGATCCATTCAATAAGTCACAATCATAATCACAATTATATTCTCATAATCATACAATCAAGTCATGATTCATGGTATTCATCATTCGTCTATATCATTTATAAATAATGTGATCAATAATGCAACATTCGCATACATGCACATATTATAATGAAGCAAGAACAGACATATATCACACAAACACGAAATCACAACCATTGCGTACCTCGAAACAAGCTTGAATCCTTAAGAAACTTGATTTTTTTTCCGGATTTGTTACACTTGCTCTTGGTCTACAAATAATTATAATAACACGAGGGTCAATAAATAACACCTAATTACCAAATTATAAACAATAATATGAGTCCTAAGTCAAACCCTTGATTTCCATACCCATATTAGGGCTTTCTTCACCATAATTTCCAGATCAAAACCCTTCTCCTTCAATAATTATCCATTAGAGTACTTTCTACAGATCAAAAAATGGATTCAGAGAGTGAAAATCTTAACTTTAGCCTCAAGATGGTGAAAAACTGTCAAGAAAATCCCTGGCTTCCTTTCTTAGCTCTCAAGTTCAAAAATTACAAAATTAAATTTTTTTGGGGTTTATTTTTCCGACTTTAAGTCGTGTTTGAGATTAGAATTATCAAATTAATAGTTCTTCTTGAGTAATCAATTTAAGTGTTGCTGTTGTTCCTTTATTTGAGTTGAAGTTTGTTTAAATCCTTATAAAATCATTAAGATTTGACTTATCCGTTGAGTTCGACTTATTGGTTGTCAATTGATAGACATGCTAAATTGTTATAGAATTATAAATATATTGACTTGTCGTTTATCGATGATCGTTAATAAAGTTATCAATTTTATTGACATGTCCCCCTCCTGACGTTCCCCTAGCGGGGGAACTCTCAATAGCGATTGTTGCTCCTTATGCCTGGTTCCGATGACTCAAAAAATAATTAATTTTAAATTAACATGTGCTGCTATACACAAGTAATAACAGAAAACAATAATACCCAATTTGAAAGGTAGGAAACCAATATTTTTGACTTGATACCAAATTACATGTTATTTTAGTAGGTTTCAAACATTTAAAAGGTAGGAAATCAAATTGCCCACTTGGCAGCCATAATTTGCCTAATATAATTTTCCAAAATTTCAAAGGTAGGAAGATGGAAGCATCTGCCAGTATAACACGATTGTCCTAACTCGTATACACTCTATTATTGCTACTTCCTTCCTTGCATCAATCTGTACCAATAAAAATAGGAGGGAGAATATTGGAGAAGAGAGAAAGCGTGGAATGCTGAGATCTTGTGGTAGAATCAATACGAAAGTTTAGGGGAGAAGTTGGGTTGTGTATATGGGGGGTAGTAGTACATTTGTTGATGGAGTTCTTCGATGGTTTCATCATCGTCGTCACACTAATGAAGATGCAATCTTGACTCAAACCCACAATTCTACAGATACCCATTTACAAGAAAAACAACACGAATTTACTATTACTGAAGACTTTGACTTCACCGGTTTAAAGCTCATCAAAGTACCCAAGCGTTTTCATTTGCCTATTTCTTCTTCTTCTTCTTCCATGGATCCTACCAAAAAGGTCTCTTTGTATTGCCCCTTTTTTTTTCTGGGTTTGACTTTTTTTATTTTAATTTGATCTGTCTTGATTTGAATCCCTTGTTTGTATGGTAGAGTTATATCTTCTGATTTCGAATGAAATTGGTAGTCTGTGCTATTACTAGGACTGAATAATCTTGGTCTCCGCGAATTTGTTTCAGACTTGGAATTATGTTAATGGGGAGGTCATGTCAAAGAATCAGCTTCCTTGATTGCTTATGTTTTCTTGTTTATTGTGGTTTGTGTATTTTCTAGCACATGAAGAAGTTACTCCTTATTGTCTTTTATTATGTTTTGAGTTTTATGTCAATGTGTATGGGTAAGAGGATTTTTTAGCTTTCAGATGAATGATATTTGTTTTGAATGGGGTATTCTTTTTCAGAATGCGTTAGAGACGGAATTCTTTACTGAATATGGAGAGGCAAGTAGATACCAAGTTCAGGAAGTAATTGGCAAAGGAAGCTATGGAGTTGTGGGTTCTGCTGTTGATACACATACTGGTGAAAGAGTTGCAATCAAGAAAATTAATGATGTCTTTGACCATGTTTCTGATGCGACAAGAATCTTGAGAGAAATTAAGCTTCTTCGGCTACTTAGGCATCCAGATATCGTAGAAATAAAGCACATTATGTTGCCTCCTTCTCGAAGAGAGTTTAAAGATATTTATGTTGTTTTTGAATTGATGGAATCTGATCTCCATCAAGTAATTAAGGCCAATAATGATCTTACACATGAGCATTATCAATTTTTCCTCTACCAGCTTCTGCGTGGACTAAAATATATTCATACAGGTTGGTTCTTTGTGTAATTCGAAATGTGCCTCTTGCTACTTCTAACTATAGAAGTTAAAATTAACTCTGAGATAATCAAACCTGCCACTTTTGCCCCCTTGCCAGCAAATATCTTCCACAGGGATTTAAAGCCGAAAAATATCCTTGCTAATGCTGACTGTAAGTTGAAGATATGTGATTTTGGGCTTGCTCGTGTATCATTCAATGATGTGCCATCAGCTATTTTCTGGACCGTAAGTTCAAATTTAGAAGGCTTCCTTTCTCCGTTGTTTTTTATACATGTTTTTTTGTGTGGTATTTAAGATACATGTATCTTTTTGAATGTATTAAAGGATTATGTTGCAACTCGATGGTATCGTGCTCCTGAGCTATGTGGATCCTTCTTTTCTAAGGTAAGATTCATTATCACTTTCACAGTTTTATTGTTCAATCTACTGGTGTATATGCAACAACTACAATGTCACTGACTTGAGCTTTAGCTCTCTCCTTTTCTGATTGTGTATGCAACAACTGCAATGGCACTGAATTTCAGAGTTTAATTGTTCATTCTGTTCCATATATTCAACAATTACAATGATGTTAAGTATAGTTAATGCATTTAGTTCTAATATATTATGTTCAAGTTTGTTTTGCATTATTTTGTTACTTCTCCATTTTTTTGCACCTATGTCAATGTATTATGATCAAGATTGTTCCTTATTATTTTGTTACTCCTCTCCTCAAGTATTTTGCTTTAAGCGTATATCCCTTCCTATATCCCTTGGGAGAGAAAAATACTAGCTAAAGTAATTATTTTTCACAATAAATGGTTTGTGGCTGACACTGGATGTACTCATATACCATTGCAGCCTTTAACAATGCCTGTAATCTAGATTCATTTGATTACAACTGGAAACTGCACTGACTGAAAAATTAACTGCAGCAAAACCCAAAAAGATAAAAAATTGTAGAACAAAAAGGAGAGTCTAAGTAGTAATACATAAAAGTCACATTATTATGAGGTCTATAACTTTGTTGTTTCGCTAATCTTTTTTTTATTGATGTTAGGAGAAGATGTTACCTGTTTATCCTATTATCCTATGCAGCTATGTTGAATTATAGGTTCATTAGAGTTGAATTATGGTTGATAACCTATGGAGCTACTTGTTGGAAAAAAAAATTTAAAATTCAAGAACTTAGGTAGTAGCTTAATTTCCTTGTCAATGATGAGTATTTTCCTTTTACAGCATTTGTTCCACCTTCCGTAATGAGATTTAATCTCTCGAATCTAGTGTTGTGCTCATCAGTACCGTGGGTTACCTGCTGTATGGCCTGTTCTCCTCAATGGTTCAGCAACAGTGAAAGGTTTAGTTTGCTGACTGGTTGTCATAGGTGAATACAGAATTTAATGGAGTGGGCCTCGTATTGTGCTGGCTCTGAAGTAGATACACCATTAGCCACAAGGCTAAAAAACACCACAAGGAAGACTAAAGTGATAATCTTAAAAAACAAATAATATTCAGCTAGAAACATTTTACTGTGAAGATTACCAAGTCTATGAGGCTGTAGGGAAAGTTGGGTGCATTTTGCTAATCTTCAAGTAATTGACTAAGGAAACTGGAATTTTCAAACATTTCACAAGTCCTGAAAAGGTGGAACTTTTATAAAGTGACAACAATATCATTTCAGAGAAGCTAATATGTTGTCATATCGGTTTTTAGTTTTAGCCCAGAGAACACCACACTTTTACTGGCTTTGAGCATGAATGTGCCACACTCAGTTAACCTTCTGCGAACTTCTTTTTTAAGTATAGTTTAAGTCTGCTTCCAGCATTGGTATAGACAGAAGAAATGGATGAGATGCGTAGAAGCTACTTCTCTTGCTTTTAAACTGATAATAAATGGCTTTACAGTTCACGCTCTTTAAGGACGAGGATTTGTTCGATGTCAAATTTTGATGAAAGAATAATAATGTGAAAAGATGTGGTTTCACTAAGAAATAACTTTATCATACATGTGAAGACTTTATTTGTGTTTTTGACACATCTGCATAGACTCATTTTCATGTGACATATACATCTCTAAGAGTTCTCTATTTGCAGTATACTCCTGCTATTGATATATGGAGCATCGGATGCATATTTGCAGAGTTGCTTTCTGGAAAACCATTATTTCCTGGAAAGAATGTGGTGCATCAATTGGACCTAATCACAGATTTGCTTGGGACACCTCCTCCAGAAACAGTTGCAAAGGTCAGTTCTCATAATATATGCTTTTCATTCTTAGAATGTTCTTAATAATATGTTATTCTTTTAGTATCATCCTATTGTGTATGTTTTTTGTGCCAAAGTATGTGTCTAGTACTGCTAGTAGATATATTTGAGAATTGAAGAAGAGGGTAATACACTTAAGAAACCATTGTTAAAAATAAAAATCACCAGCAAATTTGTGGTGTTGTCGAGTTTCATTGTTTGAAGGAAGAAGGAGCTGTGGTGTTCCCTGAGCGCTGTTTCTGAGCTAAGAAGAAGTTGGAAAGTGAGACATCTATGGCGTGAAAGCTGATGATGATGATGCATTTCTGGTAGAGTGAGGGTGAATTAAAGGAGGCATTCATGAGTATTTCTGATAGTGATGGAGCTCTACGGTGATTATTTTTCTGGTTTCTACCGTCCTGTATCTGTGGGCTTTCAGGTGGCATAACTGATGCATTCTTCCTAATGGTCCTCTGGCAGCTTGAAGGATTCCGGCCTGTGGTGTCACTTGTTTTTGGGTTTTTGGACATGTATTCAAGGTGGCTCTATTTTTATTTTTTGAATGACCTGTGGTCACAAAGATGTAATTATGATATTTCTTGAAGGTGGCGTGAGGCGTTGTGGTGAATGAAAGATGAGTATAATGTCTTGTGAGTTGTAGTGTTAAAAATGTATTTCTGCCCCTCTTAAAAAAAGATATCTCTAGGTTGAATGGCAGTGAACTCTTAAAACTTTAATGGAGAAGAATGAAGGCGGCAAAGAGAATTAGTAAGCTTAGGTTTCTGGTGACTGGTGAAGGAGGTGTGGTGGTATAGGATCCCCGAGAAAATAAAGTGTTGGTATCATGTGTTATCTTTAGAATATAAGGTAGAAAAATTGTTGCTGAGAAGTTCTGTGGTGTCACATTTTACATGCCACTTTATTTTCTCTTATTTATTAACTTGTTTCTTTTATAACTGGCAGATAAGAAATGAAAAAGCTAGAAGATACCTCAGTAGCATGCGGAAGAAACAACCGGTTGGGTTTGCAAAAAAGTTTCCAAATGCAGATCCTTTGGCATTACGCCTACTTGAACGACTGCTTGCATTTGACCCTAAAGATCGGCCATCTGCAGAAGAGGTAGTGATTGAAAACAAATCCAATATTATTTTGACTACTAAACGAAATTCCCAAGTCTAATTGACTTAACACTAATATTGCCTTTTCTTAGGGATTAGAGGATCCTTATTTCCATGGTTTATCAAATGCTGATCGTGAACCATGTAGACCACCAATATCGAAGCTTGAGTTTGAATTTGAGAAGAGGAAACTGGCAAAAGATGATGTTAGAGAACTCATATATCGCGAGGTGAGGCTTTCTTTAGTATTAATTGCTACCTTGTAAGTAAAATGATTCGAAGGATTGACTTTACACTTGTCTTGAACAACCAGATTTTAGAATATCATCCGCAGATGCTTCAGGAGTATCTTTCTGGTGCAGATCAGACTAGTGGCTTTATGTACCCAAGGTTTGCTGCTAGTAGAAACTAGTTCTAATAATTTATGCGCTTTCTTTTATATAATAGTTGACCTGCCTCTTTCTCTTGCATTAAAAGCCGGTGTTCGTAGTTTTTTACTGGAGCGTAATTGTTATTCTCTCATAAGTGGAAGCACATCAAAAAACATACATAACTTTTCTTTCCCTTAAAAGTAAAAGTTGACAATCATTTTCAGATGATCGTTTTTTTCCATGGGATATGGCAAAGTCTATTAGTGCGTCTATCTACTCCATTTGGAGCTCACTCCTCATGGGGATGAAATAGGTTCTGGGTGTTAACTTTTGATGTTGCTTCTTCCATTCTGCTTCATCTCTCTTTCTATTTACAGTTCTAAGTACTTATTCTCTAGAAAGGAACCATCATTCTTGTTTCGGTAAAAACTAATTCATTTCTTGATGGCAAACCATGGCCATCATCTAGTTATTGATAAATTATTAACATTTCATAGTGAATTGCGGATAATATTTAATGAGGTATCATCATTTTGTATAGTTCCAAGTTTGTGTGTCTTATTAAATACTTCAACAAATACTGTGTTTGGCTGTGCTGGAAGTTGTTCTCCTCCATCCTCTCACAAATGCAGACAGTGGTGAATCTTCTTGAAATCAAAGGAATTAAGTTTTCAGCAACAGTAGGGTTACTGCAAACTTTTATCGTGACAGTAACAAAAGTATTCATCAGTTTTAGACACACTTTGATCAATCCACTGGGATCTAACTAGCACAAGTATTGGGTAACTTTGCCCACCAAGGTTTAGGCAGATGAGAAGAATTAACCTAGTGTCACTTGTGCTGGAATTTTGAACCTTGGTTCGCAAGATTCACTCTTATTAGTGATTGCCTGATCCTTGGTCTAGTGTTGGATCTTCTTGGTCATCCTTCTGTGAAAAGACCTCTATCACATAGAGTTGATTGTTGTCTTGTGGACTCCCACTTCATATAAAGGCAAATGTATTGTGCCAAATAAGTTTTCTTTATTCATTTTGTATTTATTCAAGAAATATTGATTGTGGTTTTTCTTCTACATTAATTTAGTGGTGTTGATCGATTCAAGCGACAATTTGCACATCTTGAGGAGCATGCTGGTAAAGGTGAACATAGTGCTCCGATTCTGAGGCAGCATGCTTCCTTGCCTAGGTGCGTTGTTGAATCTATTATTCTTTACGTCAAATTGGTAAAGTGTTTTTTTCAGAATCTACAGATTAAGGAATTGCTTTCTTTGTATTTAAAACTATCCACATAAAAAAACTCAGATTTAGAAAGTAGTTTCTCGAAAAAAAACAAATATAAATTGAAAACTAGGTTTTTAAAAATATTTTTTGCTTTACATAAGGGTGTGGATCATAGAGTTGCTTGTGTTATCTTGTGCAGTGACTTACCAGTTAGCTCTTGTTTAAATATTTCCAGTCATTTTGGTCACTGAGGACCTTGGATTTGTTTACATGCTATTTTAATCGATTATCATCCTGTTTGATTAATTAAACTCTATAGTTTGTCCGGCATATAATTAATACAAATTTCAAGTATTACAATGGATTGATAGCTTGGTGTGGTGCATTAAAAGCTGAATTATGTGTGTTGGTTAAACAACTTCAGTTAACGTATGAACTTGTTTTCGTTTTGTAATACCTCTGCTGCAGAGAGCGAGTACCTGCACCAAAAGATGACACCTCTTCCCAAAATAATGATTGTGAAAAGAGAACTGTTTCAACAACTCTACAGAGTCCACCAACGCAATCTGAGGGATCAGAGAACTACAGTGCTCGTAGCTTGCTGAAGAGTGCTAGCATCAGTGGTTCCAAGTGTGTGGAAGTAAAAAGAAAAAACGCAGAGGTAAATCTTTTTATTCCGTTTCCCTTACTGTAACACTCAAGCGATGAGAGTATCTTGTTGCAAATTTTAACATTTCTTCACTCATTTCTTATTGGTAATGTTTTTATAGGAAGAGCCAATCGAAGAACAAAATGAAGAAGTTGATGGTTTGTCTCAAGAAGTTGCTTCTCTTCATGTTTAATTCTCTGCAGAAATCAACATTTTGAAGTTTCAGTCCTTGATTTCAGCTAGAAGCTAACTGTAGGTTATCAGTTCCTATTGTGTTATAAAATATTACTTGCTATATATAGTAGGAAAACACTCCAGCTATTCAAATTTTCTCATTAGATTACAAGGTTTGAAATTTGTAACGATTTCATAAACACTACTTCCTCTACCCTAACTAACAGAGTCTTTCTTAAATATCGTTCATTGTATGCCCGTGTACTTTACCTGCGTGTTGCGTGGATAATATTGAAGAGAACAACAGTATACATTCTGCTCGAATATGTCTTATTTATTTGAAAATTTTTAATTTTATTTCAACCATATTCATAAGAGGGCTAACTTAGAAGAAAATGTTTTTCTTCTTTCTATAATTGTTTTAAGATACTATGATATGTATAATATTATGCAAATTTTATTGATGAATTTGATAAGAAATAGTAATATTAGAATCGATTTCGTAAACTATCAATTGATTCCAAAGATTATAAAGTAGTGCATTATTATTTATTTGATTTATAAGTGAAACTCAAATAGATATCGTGCTAAAGATGAGTTTATCATTAAAGACAAGTAAATTGCACATTCAAATATTCGTAGAAAGAGAATTACTTACTTGTCTAGTAATGCTGTGGGAAAAGGGTATTCAAATATTCGTAGAAAGAGAATTACTTACTTGTCTAGTAATGCTGTGGGAAAAGGGTTCGAAGAGTTATGATTTTTCTAAAGATTTATCAAAAAATAGTTATATCTTTTCATGAAATGGCGTGACTTTTATGAGATATTGTGACCTTTATAAAAAGTTGTGACTTTCATGACAAGTTACGACTTTTATAAAAAATTATGACTTCTATGAATGTTCTGACATTTCCGAAGGAATGAAACTTTTTCAACGAGTTGTTTTTCTGATAAGGCACATTAAGAATTTGTTCACACTATCCTTTGTTGTCTATAATTAGAGGGATTTCCTCTCATTTCAAAACAGTTAAAAATTTTGAACTTTTTCTTCTTCCTTTTTATGCACAATTAGATATTCGACTACTTTGCTCCTCTTGAGTGGATCACTGACACCATTTTTTTTTGTATCAATATTCTTTTAAATATAATCGTTCTATCCTGAGAAAATCTATTCCATTAAATCTTGGGTACTATATGAGAATAAATTCCTCACGGAGACACTGTGCATTGAGTGAGCTCAATTTTTCTTCTATTGCTATAGATCCTGATTATTTATTTGTAGTCAATAATTTATGCTTATGATATTAATTGTTGTTTTTACTAAATATTTTAAACTTTGTTGTTTATGTTTCTCCAAAGTTATTGTTATAAGTATTTGTTATTACATATAAATATTATTTATTTAAAAAATATAATACCTCATGTGGATGTTCATCTAATTTCCCAAAAAAATCAAAAAGTAACAGTTCTTGGGGGCAAAAAGGATAAATTAGAATTAAAGATGATTGATTGAAAGATAACTTATAAGATGTTATAAATATTATTTTTCTTTACATTATTAGTGTACATTACGATGTAATAAGACTGTATAATGTTTTAGTTTTAATGACTAATAAATTGTAAGTATTGTTTTATAAATTTTGTGATATTGAGGATTCTTTTATTGTTTTATCGTAAAATATCCATTTGTAATGTTTTATAAGTGTTTTCTTGAGTTGAAATGTGTTAGAAAAGTTAAATGTTAATTGTAAAAAACTATTGAGATTAAAGCAGGTTAAATTGGGTGGGTCATGACCCAATCTACTATTTAGTCAAAAAAAAACTTGAGCCGGTTATGATTCCTTATTTCTATTTCAACTTATTTTCATATCTCTAGTGAAACCCAAGTCTCTCATTTGACACCTTCAAATGCAATTATTAAAATCGCTGGACTCAATTACCCCTCAAAATCATTTTAATCTTTTCCACATAAATGTCGAGGATATTTTTTCAAACAAATATTTTTATTCAATGCATGCAATTTTTAATACACCAAATCAAACAATACATAAAAATAATCTATGAATAAGTAATCCAAGAATAACTATAAAAGCATTGCCAAAAAAAACCCTTACTAATACATTATTTTTAAATATTATTTTAATACACTCTAGCAACGAACCCTTATATATACTAGTATCGGTTTAATAATATCTGTAATTTCATAATTTCATGTTTTAGATTTTACACAAATTTCATAGTGTTAAGAGTTAATTACATGATAAACTTATTTTTAAAAAAATTATAAAATCCCTTAAATTTGGTGAAATCTGGATACATCTCAAAACGTCTCGATACATGACGTCCCGATTATGAATACATTGTCCAACATCCCTATACATCACGTTTTAGTTTCGGATACATCACTCCACGTTCTAATTTATCGATCATCGTCCCAATACATCGTGTACGTCCCGTTACATCGCACAAAGTAATGTATCCGATCAATAATTGTGTAAAGTGATGTATCCAAGAATATGAGAGAGTATAATTTTTTGTGATTTTCTCAAATGGTAAAGAAATTTAGTGAATATGATCAAACAAAATTGTGTATTTAGTTAATTTTTTTCTAATATTATTTGCAATTTCATATGTGAAAATAGCTGGACTCACAACCCAACTTGTGATATTTACAAAAAAAACTAGATCGGCCAAGGTTCCGTGCTAAGCACGGGCCCGATATGCGTGATGTCATTTTTCTGATATAATTTGAAAGAATTTGTTATGTGCATAGATCATTACTCTTCAATTTAATTAATTAGAATGAGCTAGGGTAACCAATAGCGAAAGTTGAGAGTGAATTAATTAACATAGTATGAAATTGTAAGAGATCAATAACACTAAGAAAAATGGTCCCAAAAAGTGTAATTTTAGTTCCTAAAGGACAATAGCGACTTGTAAAATCTGGTCGCCAGTCCCTATAGGCTTCGTCGTTAAAGGTCTTTAGGAACGGAATATTATAGCCAGTCATTAAAGGTTAGTAGGCAGCCGATAATCTTTCGGTCCCTAGCGAAATAATATCTATTTTATCATCTTGTATGAAGAGTACAAAATATATTTTGTTACGAAAAAGATATCATACAAATGATTTTCCTGAAAAGTTATCCAAATCTATCGAGCATATTTACATATAGTTCGAAAAATCAAAACATCGATGTGCAAGAATACATATCAAACCAACTGCTTCCTCCCTTTAAAAAGGCGAGAACATACCAACAGACCGAAAAAAAGAAGCAATAGTCGAGAAGCCAAGTGTTGCTTCTATTGAAGCTGATTGTCAACTAGAATCACAACAACAAAACTATTGAATTAGGAATGTACTGAACAAGAATCCTCAAGACAACCGAAAGCACTAAATTTTCAAAGGAAACACCCAGACGAAAATAAACAGTAAGAGCAATAATAAATTGTTTAAAAATTGTGCTCTTCGGGTGGTCTGGAGGCGAGCATGTCCAAACTAGCAAAACCAATGGATTCTCCGAAGAAGATGGCATTAGGAAGCAGATGACTGATGGTTTATTGCAGGCATTCAGCAGTGTTTCCCGAAACTCTTTCCAAGCCAGTCTTTTAAACCATGGATTCAAAATTGGAGCACAGAGCTTCTGGATTCAGGGTGCACATATATTCCTCTGCTTTTTTCAGAACAAGTTGGAAACTTTTCAAGTCTTGGATGCTTCTTTCACCGTTCAAATTGACGTAGTTAGAAGAACACAGAATAATCAGACAGCTTAACCATTTGTCAAAGCAATGTGGTGAGTAAGAAACTATTACTACATTTTTTGTATTATTACCTTTCAGTATAAGGTGAGAGTCTTGTAGAATAAGCTAACTTCATCAAATAGCAATTAGTAGCTAGTAAGTAGCAGTACCAAGCAGTGGAACTCCAAAATAGAACTAATGCAGCAACACCCAATAAACTTACAATATACTTATCTATCATTCCTCTCTCGTAATATTCTCATAACACTGGTTATGTGCGTCTCTATTATAATGGTTTGGCAAAGGGGTTACCTGTAGAAACTGAAAACCAGAAATCATTCCACGAACATCAACATTGCCTGAAACAAGCACAAGAGGGGTCAAACTTAGAAGCAGAACCACAATTCTCAGTATAAAAACATATTACAAGAGAGGAATAGCTGAGGATAGATGTAAACAAAAGGGGTCCAACTTAGAAGCAAAACCACGATTCTCGCAGTCACAACACTACCAAAAGCTAAATTGTCCAGATTACATAAACTAGAGCGTCATATCTATTGCATAGGACAAATCTAATTCCTCTAAACTTTCTTGTTAAAGCAATCCTCTTCATTATAGAGAATTTACCTCACTAAGCAGTTTATATCTCCATTTCTTGGACAAGAACCAGTCAAGTTTTTTTCATTACTTCGCGCTACATTAAAAAGACAGATATTAGAGCGACTAGAACAACAAAATAGAAAAGTTGCACGTAAAAAGAATCTACAAGCCCAGAGAAACACACTCATAACAAGACTGCACAAACAGTATTCTAGTCAAATACATGCATTCATTTCTCACAAATCACAAATCACAAGCAGTTGTAAATGATATTAAGTACAAAAAATTTCTACTGCAAAGATAGTGACAGGGTAGTTCGACAATTATATGATGTAAGCTCTACAGGAAACATGAACAAGGTGATGTACTTTGAATTTCTGTAAGTTGAATTCGTCTTTCTTAGGTAGACTATGATCAGTTAGGATAAGCTTACAAACAGAAAATTAGAAGACGGCGCGAACAGTGAGGACTACATCTAAATGCTCTCATCTACCATGAAGTAACAATTAAAGATATCTTAGAGAAAGCTTTACAACTGGAGGATAGCAATCTTTTGCTGTGGGCGAGAGGCAGAAAAACCACCACAAGTGTTGGTATCTGAAGCAGTGAAAGTCTTGCAAAATATGCTAACTTTATCAAATAGGAATGCTAAAAACAAAGTAAAGTCATCCAAAAGATGCTTGTATTAACTAAATTTTACCTAAAGGAACTAAATTTAAGCAGCTAGAATAACACATCTAAATCAGAAAACGATGGAAGCACATAAATACCTGATTGTCGGGAACTAATGAGACTAAACCTCATCAATCTTGCATCCTCCTATAATCAAACACATATGAAAACCAAATGTCATATAACTAAATAACTATTCAAAATTTTCTACAATCAGCACTAAGCAGAGAAATATACACAAATAGATATTTTATCCCAATCTGTACCAAATTTTCAACAACATTGATGCTAACCTAATGAAAGTATACTATATTGTAGCTTCCTATCTGCAACTTGACAGAAAACGCGAGGATGGAGATGTTCAAGGTGACAACACTTCTTTCTTCGGCATTGAAATCAAGGGTCGAACAAATGCATGATAGAGCTCCATACTCACTGATGACATCGCCGACAACGCAAATTTTCTTTGGAGTTATTACAAGAATTTGACTTAGAGTCTATGCCTACTGTATCTTCTCCCTTAGATCCTTCAACCAAATTGACCACTTCTTCTGGTCCCCTTCTTGCTGATCCAACCGCTTACCGGCGACTTGTGGGCAAACTAAACTACCTCACTCACACCAGACCAGATCTCTTATTTGCTGTCCTCACTCTAAGTCAATATATGCAGCACCCTTGTCATGGTCATTTGGATCCTGCATTATGAGTTCTTAGATACATTAGTTTGGACCCAAGTTGAGGTTTATTTTTTAATTCCACCTCTTCTCTTTTCCATTTGTCTTTTTGCGATGCCGATTGGGCATATTGCCGGGATACTAGAAGATCTGTTAGTGGGTTATTTTATCAGTAAGGTGGATCTCTTTTTCTTGGAATTCCAAGAAACAGACCTCTCTCTTTATCGTCTGCAGAATCGGAATACAGATCTATGAGAAAGGTTACAACAGAGCTTACCTGGTTGACTCGACTTCTTCAAGATCTCTCTGTATCTCCATCTTTATCCATTCCAGTTCATTCGTACAGTCAAGTTGCCATCCACATTGCTCGCAATCCCGTATTCCATGAATGAACCAAGCAAGTAGAGCTTGATTGTCATTTCGTGAGGCAACAATTTCTTGCCGGCTTGATCTCTCTTTCATTTGTTCCTTCTTCTTCACAGCTTGCTGATTTGTTCACAAAAGCTCTTGGTGGTCCTCATTTTTCGATTTTGTCCAAGATGGGTGTTGTTTCTCTCCCCTCCATCTTGAGGAGGGGTGTTGGGAACAAAAATCAAGCATCTGAACCAATTGAAATTATTCTTTGCCAAGTGTAAGTATCATTCTTATTTCTGTCTTATTTTGTTTTATAGACAGAAATTAAAGGGTAGGAAAATTATATAAATAGAAAACTTTCTCCAAGCTTTTCTTCAGACATCGCCGACAAAGTTGACGACATCAAATCCAAACTTCAAGACGCTCCGATAATGACGCTGGAGAATACAAATCTCGAAACAAATCAGTTGATTTACCGATTGGAATCTTCCCTGAAAAAAAATCGAATTAGATACAAACTTAGAAACCTTCTAGAAACAATTCAATTGATTTACCATCAAAAGGCATGAAACGAGAAAAAAGAGAACTCAAAAGTGCAGCTATCTATATCTAAATTTAGGCAAAACTATGAACATAGAGAGAGAAGTATGAATGTCAGTGATAAAGTTGTTTGGAGAAATGAAGTGAAGAGTTTGAGAGAGATTATGTAAAAAAATGTACAAAGTGGGTTATTATCGAATTTTTAGTTTTGAGGTAACGGAGTTTAATGACCTCTGCAAATTGTACCCAAATTAGAGGGGATATTCAAACCTCCATAATTTGATAAAATTTGTGGGGGGCATATTGACCTCCACTATAAAATTAAAAAAAACCGCAAAATGGGTGTTTTTTTTGTAGTGGTCTTCCACTGTGCCTCCTTATCTGGATGTGAATTATTGTTTTTACCAAAAACGAAAGAAGCCGCCTTTAACAGCAAAGAATGATGTAGTAAACAGCAAATGATTGTACTTCATTACCTCCCTTCAAGACTTACAATTAAAACAGAGAGAGCTTCTTTTATCTATTTTTTAAAAACCATACCAGAAATGTAAAGACATATCAAGCCAACACACTGATTTATTTAAGTTGTTTCTGCCCAGGAATCAAGAGAGACATAGCAAGCTTATAAATCCCTAAACACACGATCACTGACCTCAGCTAAAAAAGGCTATCACCTGTGTCCTCCAGAAAGTCCCTCGTAGGCTACACTCCACAAAGACTACAATTAATCAAAAAGATACAAGAATAAGGGAAAACGAGAACCGAGAGAACCTATTAGTATCTGTTGACATATACCACATTGTAGATTCAAATAATTCTTTTTACTTGAACCCCTCTTTTTTTCCTCCATGAAACAAAAGTTCCAGAAAACTAGAGAACAAATTCATTTATCGAAGGAGTAAAACACATTGTATAAGTCTATTTAAAGCACAAAGGTTGACGAAAAAGAATATAATGAAGCAAATGAAGATGATCGGATCCTGAAGGCTTTGGTGTGAATATGAGGAGTTTTCTTTTTTAGAAAGGTAACGTTATGAGGAGTTTCTAGCTAGTGTTTCTTACACTAGCTAGTTTGAACCAGCTGGTTTAATTCTTGTTGTTTCGATAAATAGCACGTCAAATAAGAAAGGCCTAAGAGGCAGTACATAGCACACACATACCTCAAGCAGAGCATTGCTCATATTGAAGCTGGTTGTCAACTAGAACCACAGCAACAAAAACTTTGAATTAGGAATTTTTCAACTAGTCCTCAAGACAACAAAAAGCACTATTGTCAAAATTGTCATCGAAAACACCCTCCCGAATGTAAACAGTAAGAGCAACAAAAAATTGTTTAAAACTTGTGTTCTGTCCAACGAAGTGAATGCTGAAACATTTAAGCCTTTAGAAGTACTCTTTGAGTGGTCTGGAAGCAATCATGTCCAAACATGAAAACCAATGGGATTTTTCCGAGGAAGTCCTCCAAAGAAGATGCATTAGGAGCCTCAATGAGGTACAACAGATGACTGATGGTTTCTTGCAGGCATTCAGCAGTGCTTCCCCACACTCTTTCCAAGCCAATCTTTTCAACCTGGGATTCAAAACGGAGTACGGCTTTTCTGGATTCAGGGTCCACAGATATTCCTCTGCCTTTTTCAAGACAAGTTGGAAACTTTTCATGTTTTGGATGCCTTCTTTCACCGTTCAACTTGACATAGTTAGAACCACACATAATAATCATACAGCTTAACCATAAGCAATAGCCTACTTTTTCATTACTTAACCTTACTACCTTTCCTTTGTAGTTATGGTGTCTGAGAAAGTCAACGAGGCACTTGGTAATATTCTTGTCATAGAACCTTGTCGAAGCAATGTGGCAAGTAAGAAACTCCAAACCATTACCAATAGAGTCAAAAAGAGACATTAGAGGAGTTACAGTAGTAAATGAGACACAAACATTAAGAATCAACCAAAAAAAAATCATTCACAGAGCAAAAAGTTGTAGAGTACTATTATCTTCAAATTCATGACTCAAACTACCTTTGACAAGCACAAGCCACTGTGAATGAAATTCTAGCAAGCTGCCAGGCATTGATACAAGCCAACTTACTTAGACATATATATATTTTTTTTGATAAATACATTAAAAAGACATATATTAGAGAGACTAGAGCAACACAACAGAAAAGTTGCACATAAAAGAATCTACAATCCCAAATAAGCACACTCATAACAAGACTGCTTATACATATGCATTCATTTCTCATAAATCACAAGCGATTTGTAAATGATATTAAGTACAAAAAACTTTCTAGTGCAAAGATAGTAATAGGATAGTTTGACAAATCATATGATGTAAGCTCTATAGGGAACATGAACAAGGTGATGTACTCCGAATTTGTCTAAGTTGAATCGTTTTTCTTAGGTAGACTATGATCAGTTAGGATAAGCTTACCAACAGAAAATTAGAAGACGGCGAGAACAGTGAGGACTACATCTAAATGCTCTCATCTACTATGTAGTAACAATAGAAGATATCTTAAAGGAAGCTTTACAAAGGGAGAATAGCAATCTTTCGCTGTGGGCGAGGGGCAGAAAAACCACCATAAGTGTTGGTATCTGAAGCAGTGAGTGTCTTACAGAATATGCTAAAAACCAAGTAAAGTCATCCAAACAATGTCTGTATTAACTAAATTTACCTAAAAGAACTAAATTAAGCAGCTAGAATAACACATCTAAATCAGAAAACAATGGAAGCACATAATACCTGATTGTCGGGAATATGAGACTGGTCAATAAACCTCATCAATCCTGCATCCTCCTATAACCAAACACATATGAAAACCAAATGCCATGTAACTAAATAAATTTTAAAATTTTCTACAATCAGCACTAAGCAGAGAAATATACACAAATAGATAACCAATTTGTACTAAATTTTCAACAAAATTGACGCTAACCAAATGAAAAGGATACTAAATTGTAGCTTCACATCTGCAACGTGACAGAAAACGCGAGGATGGAGATGTTCAAAGTGACAACACTTTCATTCTTCAGCATTGAAATGAAGGGTCCAACAAATGCCTGATAGGGCTTACAATGAAAACAGAGAGAACTTCTTTTATCTATATTTTGAAAAAACATACCAGAAATCTAAAGACATATCAAGCCAACACACTTATTTATTTAAGTTGTTTCTGCCCAGGAATCAAGAGAGACATAGCAAGCTTGTAAATCGCTAAACAATGATCACTCACCTCAGCTAAAATAGATCACCTGTGTCTCCAGAAAGTCCCTCGGCTGAACGGAGGCTACACTCCACAAAGACTACAATAAATCAAAAGATACAAGAATAAGGGAAAACGAGAACCTAGAGTAGCAGGTCAGGGGTTTTAACCTTTTCTAACATCTTAGCAACCTGAAGATATTAGTAATCACTTCTCTCTGATGTACTATAAGTTACTATTTGATTACTCTGTCATGCTTTATACATCTTGAGATTAGTATCTTTTGCCATGTACCACATTGTAGATTCAAATGATTCTTTTTACTTGCACCCCTTTATTAGTTAACATTACTACCTTTCCTTTGTAGTTATGGTGTCTGAGAAAGTCAACGAGGCACTTAATAATCTCCCTGTTCATGGAACATTGTCGAAGCAATGTGGTGAGTAAGAAACTCCAAACCATTACCAATGGAGTCACTGGAGGAGTTACCGTAGTAAATGGCTCAAAATCCATTTCCAAAATGTTTCCACTGGAAACATAAATGAGACACAAACATTAAGAATCAACCAAAAAAAAACTCATTCACAAAGCAAATAATTGTAGAGTACTATTATCTTCAAAATTTGACTCAAACTACCTTTGACAAGCAAAAGCCACTGCGAATGAAACTCTAGCAGGCTGCCAGGCATTGATACAAGAACACTTACTTAGACACCTATGGGTTTTGCGAGGAAGACATGTTACACCTCAACGAGTTACTCAACTTCATAATCTTTACCTATGGTTACACTAATGATGTCAATCATCTCATCCTTCTGGATGAACATCATCAACTGGAACCTAAAATGTTCAAACTTCTACTCTAATTGGAAATGGTAATATAAAAGCAAGTAATAGTTTTCAATAATTGAACTAAAATGAGAGCTAAAATAGCAATTAGTACCTAGTATGTAGTAGTACCGAGCAGTGGTACTCCATAATGGAACTAATGCAGCAAAACCGAAGAAACCTATCTATCATGCCTCTCTCGTAATATTTTCATAAGATTGGTTATGTGCGTCTCTATAGTAATGGTTTGCGCACTATAGAAAGGCAAAGGGGTTACAAGTGAAAACTAAAAATCAGTAATCATTCCACAAACATCAACAGTGTTGTAGGTAATACTGGAGATTTCCAATAAGTTTCACATTTAAAGACACAAATATTGATTCAAAACAACGATATTTTCATTTAAAACTTTAAAACCAGAATATATTGCAACAACTTCGAATCTATCAACTTTCAATCTATCATAAGACTATGCAAACTATGTTTTTTTTCCTCAAGTTCTAAAGATTTCATAAAATACTACAGTTGAAGGAGGAAGTGGAGGAATCTTGAACTTCAAAGCCATTGTTGATGGCCATATTCTTCACGTCTTCATCATCGGTGAAGATGAACACAGATTTGACCAAATCAGTGTTCGTTGAAATTTTGACCAAATAGACCATATCGTCACGGTTATAGACGATATGGTGATCAAATGTACCAAGAGTTTTACTAATCTCCAACAATTCCTTCTTAGCCTCATCAGATTTGCGTTTCAATGCAGTAGATTCATGAACTAGATTCGCAAGCTGAGTAAGTGATCCCATGACTGAAAAGAGAAAAACCAGTAAAAGATTCAAAAAGAAGGTCAAAAGTTTTGAAAAAAAGACTATATTAGATATACATGAAGGTAGCAGACCAGAGGAGAAGTTGAAAACGTAACAAGGAAAGAAACAATCAACTTGAATTTTTTATTAGAAAAATGAATTTAAAGCAATCATTCTCATTATGCAACATTTACCTCACTAAGCAGTTTATATCTCCAACATTTAACATAACCACCAAACTTAACCCACACAACAACTCATACAGAGGAATTCACAACACCATACAAATATCACCTACATCATACAAATATCACCTATAGAGACAAAACAGAGATTTGCATGTTTAGAACAGAATCGAGCTTTTTTGAAAGAAAAAAATGAAAGCAATGAGGAAGTCATTCATTGCTTTGCTTTGCTTGTGAACTGTGGACTGTGGATTGTGGTGCCCTTTACAAACAACCTTTCCTATTTGTTGGCTGTCAAACAGCACGACATGAATTTACCCTTTCTTCTTTGTCCACACATTTAAAACTCCATAACACATACGCATTTGACTAGTTTCTAACGTTATTTTCCTTAATGCCCCTAATAGATAAGTAACATGATAATATCCTCTTTTTTTCTTTTATCACAAGGAATTCTAACAACTTTAACTAATCTCAAGGAACCCATTAGTAAATTAAGCAATTCTTTTGTTATGACTCCACCATTTAACGCAACCATCAAACTTAACCCACACAACAACTCATATAGAGGAACTTACAACATCATACAATGAATAGTTAAACAACAAAGGTAACAGACTAATAAACATCATACAACAAGTAACACAACCATCAAACTTAACCCACACAACATCATACAAGTATATCACCTACAGAGACGAAACGGACGGATATTTGCATGGTTAGAACAGAATCAAGTTTTTTTTAAAAAGTTAAAATAAAAATGAATTGTTACATCAAATTAATCAACGATTATACAAGGATTTTAAACAAAAATATACCTGCAGTGACTGAGAAGTAGCTATTTGAAACAGTATGTGGTTGTGACTATCCAAAAATAGGAAGGGGAAGAGGGGTTTATATAGGCAGGTTGGAGAGTTGAAATGATAGGGAGGGCTATTGGATTTGCTTTGTGGGCTCGGTGGTTCATCATCGCTTTCGCTGGGTTTGGGAGGAAGAAGAGTACGGTTTGTATGCGTATTTTGTGCGTACTGGGTTTGTATTCTTCTTGGCTGTATCCTATAGCCTGTAATTGTATGTACGAATTGGAGTGGGCCTGGCTAAACTTTGGCTCACGGTCACAATTAATTACAAATTTTAGTTTAATTGCCAAATTCATCTAAAATTTAAATTATCCTAATTATAATTATTTGTTAATTAAACACATTCTTAAAATCTCTCCCTTCAATAGAATATATAAGACGGGATTATATTTTATACAAAATACTTGACATACTAAAAGCTTTTTAAAAAAAAATAATTTTTAAAAATCAATTTCATGTCATGCATAACTTAAATGAACATACTTGATTCGAAATTTTAGAGTGTTCGATAACTTATTTTAGAAAATTCACCTTTGAAGCTTGAGAAATTTCTGAAATGGTCATCTCAAAACTTGGAAAAATCCTTAATAAACTTTTTATTCTTTATTAAAAGACTTCTCTTTAGACAAAATCTTGTTTCCACTATTTTCCTTCAATCATTAATTAATTTTATTTCTTCAATCACAATTAATTTTTCGTTATCTTTGTTTAGGAATTTGTACTTACATAAGAGTGTGTGATCGTGATATCCAAAAAAAAATGAAGTAGAAAGTTAATTGGACACTGATCCTTAAATTAGTATGGAAAAGATTATGTAGTATAAGAAAAGTAAAACTATTACAAACAGAATATCTTTATTTGTGTTGGAGAGTAATTTTTTAATTTGTACAAAAATATAATCCTAAACCTTGGTTAAAGTTTTTTTTTCCTTATTAGCATTATGTTTGCCCTTGTTCCATCCGATCAGTTCTTTATTTTTAGTTTTAATAACTAGTGAAATTATATGCTTTACGTGACTATATAAATTACTTATATGTAGGTTAGTATCGAATATGTAAAATAATATTAATATTTTCTTCATGTGTAATATCTTACATTTTTCATTTTTTGAACATATAAGTGTATTTTTTTTAAGGGTAAAATGACTTGACAGACCCTTATACTTAATTATGTTCGTAAGTTGGACCCTTATACTTATAGCTTTGTTAACTAAACCCTTTAACTCACCAAAATACAATATTTTTAATCCTTTTCTTATCTGATGAGGTACGTGTAGTATACTCATTTTACACATGGAATTCTATGTCAATTTTTAAGAACACATCATAAATTACTAAAAAAAAAATAAATCAAAGACACATCAGAAAATTAAATATTTAAAAATACTTTTTTCTCTCTCTAATTCCCCACTTCACCTTCTTCTTTCCCTTTCCCACCCCCACCCCCACTCCCACTCCGACTAGTTCTTTATTTTTATTTTAATAACTGGTAAAATTATATGCCCTTCATGCGACTATATAACTTATTTATATTTAGGTTAGTATCAAATATATAAGATAATATCGTTGTTTCCCTTCATCTGCGATATCATACATTTTTCATTTGTTATACATATAAGATAGATATATTTTTTGCATTTTTTAAGTACAAACTATTCATATGTATATAGTAGAACAAAATATTCACCGTGGTGAACTAAATGGAATGAGTGGTAGTATATTGAAATTAGCAATATGTATTACATTGAAAATATTTATACGTATTAATTTCCTCTATCTTTTATGTAGAAGTACTAATTTTCTATACAAACTCTTGGTAAAAAAAAATCACTATGTCTTTATTATTACATTTTTTATTATAAATTTTAAACATTAACAAATATTTATAAGAATTATTAAAAACGAAATATATAAAAGTTATGAATAATATTTAATATTAGAAGTTACAAGTAAGATGAAGAGACATGAGTTATAAATAATTCAAAGTATAATTTTATCAGACATTAAGTGTAATAACACTTGTGCATTGATTTTATTTGTAAAATAAATAAATGAAAATAAGGGGTAAAAATACAAAAATGAGCATAAACATAAACATAATAATAATAATAATAATAATAATAATAATAATAATAATAATAATTGATGACTATATAAAAATTATAAATACATTTCAAATAAAAAGAACGGTGACAGAAACTGATTGTTACGTACAAAAAAAATGGTATCATGAAATCAATATTTTATTTTTCAATTACTTTTTTGCAAGTAGAATTAAAATAAAAATCCTACTCATCATAAATTTTTTGTTGAAATAGGATAATTATACTAATTGTGCTTCATAACAAAGAAAAAGTAGAATAGTAAATGATCAAATGATTAGCATTGACAAGATATTTAGCTACATTATTTATATAAGGGAAAAGGGTCTAATATGCCCCTAAGCTATTAGAAAAAGGTCAAATATACCCTCCGTTTAAAGCTTGGCTCACTCATGCCTTCGTTGTCCAAACTTTGGCCCAAATAGGCCCTTATGATTGTTAGTGTGTATGATTGACATATCCAACTCATTTTTTATTTCTTTAAATGTCATGTGGAATTGCCATTTCATTTTGACCTTATCACATGAATTTAAGGTTACTATATTTATTTGTGATTTTTTGGCGTTAAATTTATATTTTTTTTCTTATTTTTCTATTTTTTTATTAATCAATTACTCATTTTTGAGATTTATCCAAAAAATAAAAATTTAAAAAATTATTGAAATTGTTGGATTTAAGGTTACTATATTTATTTGTGAATTTTTGTTATTAATTGTATATTTCTTTCATATTTTTTCTATTTTTTATTAATCAATTACTCATGTTCGAGATTTACCGAAAAACTAAAAAATTAAATAAAATTGTTAAAAATGGGTATGATAGTTTATTTTAAAAGGGGGAGGGGTTGATTTATGGTCGGATTAGGTTTTTATGCGTCTGAATCCCTTTTCATTTTCATATAAATATCGTGTGATAAGGTCAAAATGACATGACAATTCAACATGGTATTTAAAAAAATAAAAAATGAGTTGGATATGTCCAACATACCCACTAACGGCCATAAGGGCATAATTGAGCCAAAATTTGGACGATGAGGGCATGAGTGAGCGAAACTTTAAAAGGATTATATATCTAGACATTTCGAATAGTTTAGGGGCATATTTGACCCTTTTCCTCTTATATAAACAAAAATTTTAAAAATTCTAGCAAAGTAGCTAAGTTACAAATACAGGTCAAAGTAAAAAAAAAAAACAAAAATAATCTCCAATTATGCTTCATTTTCCCCACTTCTATCATCTTCATTTGCAAGTAGATCCGCCACTATATTTTGCTTCATATGTCAAACTCTTCATCCTATGAAATCAATTGAATAATAAATAAATAAAATAGGGAAAATGCACAAGTTTCCCCTCAACCTATGTCCGAAATCCCAGAGACACACTTATACTATACTAAGGTCCTACCGTACTTATTTTATAAGTAATTTTCTACCCCTTTTCGGCCTACGTGGCACTAGCTTGAAAAAAATCAACCAGTAGTGGGCCCACAAGATAGTGCCATGTAGGTCGAAGGAGTAGAAAATTATTAATTTCAGGGGGGTAATAGGACCTTAGTATAGTATAAGTGTGTCTCTGAAATTTTGGGCATAGATGGAGGGGGTACTTGGACATTATCCCAAATAAAATATTATACACTAATTAAAATAACTATATCAAAAGAAACAATGAAATTAAATTCTTTGTACTATATTTGTATATTATTTTTTCAATAGTACTAACAATACTACGTAATAATCATTTCTTGAAATCTAACAAATATTATCACCAAACTATATTATATTTAAAAAAACTGACTATTAGAAAGAATAATTGCATACTTACAACACATCGTTAAGAATTACAAGGACTCTTTTCGAAATCATACTTGCTTGATGAATAATAATACTAACACAAAAAATATTAAAAAGCATGTCTAAGTACATAGAAATAAAAAGAAAGATCTGAGAATGAAATATGTCTTACCTTCGTGTACTTTTTTGTTTCATGTTGGTTAATTCACAAACAAATATGATGAAGAAGAGAAATAATAATTTGTTGGTGAATCTTCATAAAAGTAAATGTAACGACTCCTCTGATCGTTTTGAGTACTAAAAATTTTTATTTAATAAAATATTTTCTCATAGATTCTAAAGGGGTATTTTGAATTATTCGTAACGATAATTACATAAGTGATGGGTAAATTTAATAAGGGATAATGCCCAAGTACCCCTTCAACCTATGCCAGAAATTCCAAAGACACACTTATACTATAGTAAGGTCCTATTACCCCCATGAACTTATTTTATTAATAATTTTTTACCCCTTTTCGATCTACGT